ATGTGAATATTTATATCACCCTAAATGTTTCTCTTATTTTCTTTCCCAATTACTTTACCCTCGATTGTAACAATCAGTGATCTCTTTTCTGTCACTGCATGTTAGACTTCTGTTCCCTAAGGTGTCATAAAAGAGTAATTTAGTATGTAATCATTCATGTCTGTATTCTTTCGCTCAGCCTAATGTTTTTGAAATGTATCTATGTTTTTGCTTATATTAGTAGCATATTCCTTTTTATTACTGAATAATGTTTTGTTACTAAATAAATACCTAACAGTAGAATAGTTGGCTCATATGGTAAATGCATCTCTAACCTTATGAAATACTTCCAAATTGTCTTCCAGAATTATTTAATTTCATATCTCCACCGAGTGTGTATGAGTTCCTTGTGCTCTACTCTCATCTAAACTTGGAATTGTCAATCAAGACGTTATGTGAGATTTCTGCATCTATGTTAATTAAGGTTATTTTCCTCTGGTTTTCTTTTTTGTAATATTTTTTCTAGTGTTAGTACAGAGTAATGCTGGCTCAGTAAAGTGAATTGGAAGCATTCTCTCCTTTCTATTTTCTGCAAGAGTTTGTGTACAATTGGTGTAATTTCTTACTTGAATGTTTGAGAAAAATCACCAGTAAAGCTATCTTGCCCTACCATTTTATTTGAAGACAAATTTTTATTTATTAACTCATTTTAAAAAAACTAATATAAGCCTATTTAGGCCTTGCATTCCTTCTTGAGCCTGCTTAATACATTGTAACATATTGTGCCTTGCAAGGGTTTGTCTATTTCATATGAATTGTCAAATATATTTGCAAAAATTATTCATAATATTTCCTAATTAATTTGTTCCCTGTCCTTAGACTCACTCAGTTTACCTACAGGTTTGTCAATTTCATTGACCTTAACAAAAACTAACTTCTCACATTGATTGCCTCTATCATTTATTTATTTCACTGATTACAGTCTTATCTTTATTACTTTTCTCTTTAAGTTGACTTGATCTTTGTTTTTAGTTTCTAAACTTTATACCTTACTACTTTTCTGATATAAATACTTAAACTATACATTTCTCTAAACACTGCTTTAGTTTTCCCTACACATATTAATAATGTTTTCATTCATTTTAAAATATTTTCTAATTCCTTTGGGAATTATTCCTTCAGTCATTGATATCTAAATTGCACTGTTAAATTTCTAAACATTTGAGTAAATTCTAAATGCCATTTTGTATTCTAAGTTACTATCATTTTGATCAGAAAATATATTCTTTATGTCTGTAATCACTTCACATTTATGGAGACTTTGGTTTTAGCTCACAGTATGGTCTATCTTGTTAAATGTTTTTGAAAAAAAATGTATATTCTACAATTACTGATTGAAGTTGTTATAAATGTCAATTAATTTAGGTTATTTTATAGTTCTTTAGTCATTCTTGCTGTTACGGTTGTATAAGTCAGTCTTGTTGATTGTCTTATGAATTATAGGTAGTGGAATGTTGAAATATACAAATGTATGTATGGGCTTGTCTACTTCTCTGAATTATATCAGTTTATGCTTCATGTATTTTGAAGCTCTGTTATTCAGTACATACACACTTAGAATAATACTGTGTTTTCTTGAAAAATGTATTCCTTTATGAATATGGAATGTCTCTCTTCATACTAATCAACTTTGCCTAAAATCTATTTTGTGTCAAATTAACATAGCCCCTTCAGACCTTCTGGTTTGTTGCTATTATAGTATATCCTTTTCATCCTTTTTAAAAATGGTATATTTTTAAAAATATATTTTATTCTTTTTGTATAAAGTGAGTTTACTATAGATAGCATATATTTGGTCTTGCTGTTTTTCAAGTCTAAAAACCCCTACCTTTTATTATGAGTAGTATAAATTTATAGGTAATGTATTTTTATGTGGGTTTAAATCTATGAGAATGCTGTTTGTTTTCTATTTATCTAATCTATTCTTTGCTTCTTTTTCCTCTTCTGTGCCTTCTCTTTAATTCACCAGTGATTTTTATGTTTAATTTTATTCTTGGTATTGCGACAGCATGGGTGGAGCTGGAGAACATTATACCAAGTGAAATAAGCCAGTCAGAGAAAGAGTTCACTTACATGTGGAATCTAATGAACAAACTGAACTAACAAACAAAATACAGGCAGGCTCATAGAGGGAGGAAAGATGACAGTTTGGAACTGGGGGTTGGGTGATGGAGGGATGGAGCAAAAAAGAAAAAGAACTCATGGACAGGGACTGCAGCCTGGTGCCTGTGGCAGGGGAAAGCAGTGGGTGGAAATAAATAAGTCAAGGGTATTCTAGGACTTACATATACATCATTACCTTATCACAGTCTACCTTCAAAATGATCCTTATTTATAATATGAGAACATTACAGTAATATACTTTCACTTCTGGATATTTCATTGTTCCATACTATTGTCATATGTAATAAACACAATAATACACTTGTACTGTTTGCTTTACTTTACATGAGTATATTTTAAATATATTTTTGAATGACAAGGACTACTGAAACAGACCTCTAAAGAAATAAAAAATTAGATATATAATAAATAGAGAGAATTAATAATTTTAAAACTTCCCATTAAGAAAAGCTCAGGCTCAGATGGTTTCAATGATGAATTATGCCAAATACCATATTTTGCTATGTATAATGAACACTTTTTTGCCCAAACTTTCAAGGGAAAGATAAAGATGTGCATCATATATGGGTAGCACTAATTCTGTATCCACATAAGTGTTTTTAATTCTTTCATTTGTGCTTATGCATTAGAAGTGTAACTCTAGAAAGCAATAACAATATCCATGTGCAAAATAATACCCTGGAATATGATACTCTGTTTTGTTTCTAAATATAAATGAATAATTGAATTAAAAATTAGAACAAAAGATTTTTGTCCTGAAAGTTTGAGCCAAAAACATGAATGCATACTATACAAGGGAGCACATTATACATGGGAAAATACAATAGTTTAAGAAAAATTAATGTAAGTTTTTCACAAATTCTTTCAAAATTAAGGAAAAAAGAGAATACTTCCGATCTCATTGCATGAGGCGTGTATTACCCTGGTACCAAAACCAGACAAGGATTTCACAAGAAAGAAATCTCTAGACTAATGAGAATATGAATATGAATATGAATAAAATATAAAAATCCTTAACAAAAAGTAGGAAACCACATCCAACAATGTATAGTAGGGAATATACACTATGATCAAGTAGGATGTATCTCAGAAAAACAAGGTTGGTTCAATATCTGAAAATCAATAATGTAATATACTGTATCAATAGGATAAAGGAAAAACCCACATTATCCTCTCAATAGATGCAGAAAAAAAATGCTTGACAAAATCAAAACCCTTTTATGATAAAAATCACTCAACAAATACTAGAAAGAGAAGAGAACTTCTTCAACCTGATAAGTGAGACCTATGAAAAACAGACAGTGAACATTACACCTAATTAGGGAAATACTGAAAGCTGTCCATGCAAGATCAGGAATAAAGACAAGGATATTTGTTCATGCCACTTCAACATTGTACTGTGAATTCCAGCCAGAGCAAAAATGGCAAGAAAATAACATAAAAAATCACCCAAATTAGAAAGTGGGAATTAAAATATCTCTATTTGGAGATGACATATTCTTGTATATAGAAAATCTCAGGGACTCCACTTACAAAAAAACATGTTTAGAACTAATAAAAACTCAACAAAGTTTCAGGAAATAAGGTCAACATAGAAAAATCAAGTGGATTTCTGTACAGCAGCAATGAACAATCTGAAAGTAAAATTAAGAAACAATTCTATTTACAATAGCATAAAAAATGATAAAATACATAAGAACAAATTTAACAAAACAATGCAAAAATTAGATACTGAGAACTGTAAAACATTGTTGAAATTAATTAAAGATCTAAAATAAATAGAAAGACATTTCATGCTCAAGGGTCAAACAACTTAATATTTTTCAAATGGTAATATTTCCTCAAACTGGTCTACAAAGTCAACTTAATCTCTCTACCATAAAGGCAGGGAGCAAAACAGTGTCTATTGCAACTGGCAGAGAGAGATTCATATCACTTACATTTTCATAGTCTGGAAGGATTTATAAGAAACTAACAAAAGCATAAAAGCCTTTATGTACGGTACTGGTTGGATTAAAAATGGGAGAACGTGGGGACAGGCTGGCTTTCCATATTGTCTTGCTCTTTGTGTTCTATGCATTTTTTTAAATATGCGGGAAGGCAGGAGTAGAAATTCTGCCGCCTGACCCCAGCAGCCTGTAATGTAGACAAGGCTGGCTTCACAGGGTCAGACAAGAACCACTTAACTCATGAATTCAGTAAGCTCTGTGCAGAGATACTCCTCACAGGACCTGTGGCTTCACATTACTTCGGACTTTCAGAGACAAGCACTAATACTAAGACAGGAGCAAGTGAGGGAGAGAGGGAGGCCAGCTGACTAATTCCAGAGGGATCTTAACTCCTCTATTTCATTTCCACAGCAGCTATAGTTAAGAATCTCCCATGGCTCCCCAGCGGGCCCTGCCCTAACACAGTGAGGCAGAGGGGGTCTAGAGAAGGTAAAAACGTTTGTCCAAGGATGACGCTGCTGCTCAATGTCATAGAAAAGATGAGGAGAGAAGGAGGGGGGAAAAAAGGAAAAGGTATATGGCAGAGTTTCTGCTGACTAACTTTGGGCAGCAAATAGACTTTTGGGAACAGTGAAATTAAGCTGCTTCTTCTTTGGCCTTGATCCACGTTTAGATTTGTTCAGACTTTGGAGTTCAAGTTACACAATGGGAAATGTTTTGATGAATTAATTCCATCTGAAAGTGGGAAAGAAGTTTCAAGAGGCCTCAGTGTATTTATGTGAGAGATCCAGTGGCCCCAGTTCCCTCTTTACCTTTCTCCGCCCTTCCACTCTGTATATCTTTCCAAAGTTAATTAATTGCAAACTCTCACTGCTTAATTGCTTTTAGAGATGGACCCCTGCGCAGGTGGGAACGGATGTGCCCACATCTGTCAGAGTGAGAACGGCGTGGCCAGGTGTGCCTGTCGCCTGGGCTACCGGCTGTCTGAAGACAAAAAGGCCTGCGGAGGTGGGAACTTGAATCTGATAGCTTAATTGTGTAATTGTACGAAATTTTGTGGTAATTCTGTTTGAATAGTCAGAACAGCTAGGAGAAAGGTGTTTTCATTTTTATGCTTAAAATGGAACATGTATACTCCTATTTGATCATTCTGAAAGGCATTTTATGATACTATAAAAACTCAGTGAAAGTTTTAATTACAAAAAAAAGGCCTGGTATAGTTTCAGAATTAATGCTATTTGTTTTCTGTTTCTCATTCTGGAGTGAATTCCAGAATTAATATTTCAAAGCCTTCCATAACCACACAGGGAGTTTCTTTATTATAGGCTACAGAAAGTACGGGTAAGCTTTGAAAAGCAAGAAGTGCAAATGAGTGTTCTCAGAAATAGGGATAATTGAAAAAGAAAGAAAGAAGTAAAAGAAGAAAGAAAGAGGGAGGGAGGAAGAAAGGAAGGAAGAAAGGGGCTTTCTAAATCCAAGGTCCTATATTTCTGTTTCCTAGACATAACAAAGCAGACATACTTCAGTTGAAAGATAAGTGATAAATTACTTCATGTCCAGAACTGATGAATGAAGTCATTCTTGTGGGACATTGTTTTAATAACTTCTGAGAAATCACAGAATCCTTCATTTTATCCTGATGTGAGAAACAGTGTATTTGGATTAATTATGAAAATACCCAAATATTTCCTGACTTATGGGACTGAAAATCACTTTGAGAAAATGAAAAACAATGAAACATAAAAACTGGTGTTAAGTTAGGTTTTTTTTTCCCTTTAAGTCAAAACTATGGTAAAATTTTCTGTAGACTGTGTTAACCCACTTTTCTGACAGAACACATTTCTGTCTTGGTCCTCTGTTCACAGAGCACCTGTGTCGCTCAGCGCCTGCCCCAGAATAGGTTCTTGTTAGGTAGGTGTGGGAAACTGACAAATATATACATATATAGGATATATGCATGTACCTGTATCTATCTATTTATAATCTCTTTCAAAATTTTATTTAATAGCATTCTTCCTAGAAAACCTATCCCCCAAATTACTGCCTATTTAGGGTTTTACAAATACCTTACAAGAATGAGTATCTCTCTTAGGTGCCCTGGTAAGGATAACATGCAGGACAGCACAAAGCAGGAAGTTCAAGTAGGCAAAAATGATGGTGAGACCTATCGACTTGAAAGGAAGGAGCAGGAACTATGTGGGCCACAAAATGAAGTGACACTGACTAGACTTGGCTACCGGTGTCAGGAGAGAGAGAAGGCATGACTGTTTAATTAGCATGGACCAGTGACAATCGTATGCCCAGCATATATTGTGGATTGATCCTTATGAAGGACCCAAATCTGCCTTATCTATGGCCACACGTACTAACTACCTCAAATCAGGACAATACCATTTTGGGTTACGAATATGATATATATTCCTAAAGACAAATTACAGTGGCCTCTTAGCTGTATCATCTGGGGACAGATAATGTCTGTTTTTTTTCTCTTTCTTGCGATTAATAGATACTGGTAGGCTGCAATAGAAACAAGTGTTTGAGAGCATTAGACTGACACTAGAATGAATGTCCTTAGTAGTTAATTTATTGGCAAATATGGAGTCTATGTGGTATTTTTCTGTTACACTTGATGTTGGGGGTTCAAGGGGAAGGAACGCTTTAGTTCATTTTTATAGTTTACACATAAATTGTAATTCAATCTCCAAACACACTGTGTCTCTGTGTCTGCAGACATAAACGAGTGTGCAGGACGGCTGGCTCACTGCAGCCATCGCTGTGTGAACACAGTGGGGTCTTTCACCTGCGCCTGCCACCCTGGCTTCGAGCTGGGAGCTGATGGAACACAGTGTTACAGTAAGTGGCAGCGAATCACAGCCCTGGAAATGTGTGGCATTTGACAAGTATTAAACAAGAGGAATAAAAGAACAACACTGAATATTTTGCCAAAGCAAAGCTCCTGAGACTGTTTTCCAGGAGGGGGCGGTAGGGATGAGAGCTTAGAAGTTCAACCCCGTTCTTTTACTTTAAAGAAATGGACGCAGCGTCAATAGAAAATGTTTGTCATAATGATCCCCAGTGTAGCCAGTAAGGATTAAGTCTCAGGTCTTCTGACTTGGGGCTCCCTCAGACCCATGGCTCTCCTTGTGAAGAATCTGCCTTCCTTCCTCAGCTCTGCCATGTGATGTTTATCAAACACTAGTAGCTCCCATGTAAAACTCACGGAAAAAGAGCCAGCAGCATGGAAGGAACCAGCAGTACAAGGAGCAGCTCCAGATTGTAGCAAGATGACTGGCACACTAGATGCTCTAAAGAGGTCTTTTCATGTCATCCCTTTTCTTCTCCCCCTCAACTGTGTATTCCTTTCCATCCTGCCTCTTTAAACATCACCTTTCAACTTTTCATCCTCTTTCACTGACTCATCCCTCTGCTCCTATGATGCATGCCATTTAACCTTAGCTTCTTCCTCCCCTAGGCTCAGTTATACAATGTAATATATCCCTTATTATGAACATATTAAAATGTTAATATGCTGAGTCATTAGCTTCTACTAATAGATATTGTAGCTATTTCCATCTCTTAGGTCTTCCCCACTGGTCTACTGATCACCTGTAGATGAACACGCTTTCTACTTAACTAAGCTTAAAACCATCTGCTACAGATTCCTTCTTTTTCTTTTGTTACTGTTGTTCAGTTACAGTTGTCCCCATCTTTCTCCCATTGCTCTCCCCTGCCCCTTGTTCCACATTCTCCACCTCAATATTTCCCATCCTCACCTGCCCTCTACTTCTTCCCACCTTTTTCAAATAGCAGAATATTTTTTTTCTTATCTCTTTGGGGGCTTTCTTTATCTCTGCCTCTTATGTGATCATGGTATATAAATGATTCATTTTTCTTTCTCATCTTCAGACTTTACATTTTTCTCAGTGATTTCTTCCCTTCCTTCTCCATTTCATATCTATACCTTAGCAGGTGAACTTTCTAGGTTTGAATGCAACCCTGGTAACTGGTTTTATTTGAAATTCATAAATCTCAAATGAGTAAACAATGTGGCTTCTCAAAACTATAGTATGAGAATATGTCCACTTTCATCCTCATCAAAATAATGTTGAATATTTTCTTCGTCTTCTAAATCTTTGCACCACCCACCTTTTACCTTTTTCCTTACCTTGTCTCTTATATCATCGATATAGTGTATGCAAACTGCCATTTAAGCTAGCAACCAATCTGAAATAGCTCATAGAATTATTTGGAAAATACTTCAACCCTATTAATAGAAAGGAAGTATTCCTACTGCTATCAAAGGCTCCTTTCTCCATTGTACTTTGGATTCCATTCCCTCTCATTATCCAAAGGTCTTTGCTATTGCAATCGTCTAGTGGACCATTCTTAGCAGCGTATCAATGTGGTCCAATATCTCCTATCTTTGAAGTACTTTCTGATAAGCCTACATGCCATTAGAGCTTTAATCTGATCACCTTCACAGCATATTTTGTATAACTTTGTCAATGTCTCCTCATCTTGCATTGTCTCGTCATCCCAGACCAATTAGGTTATCACCTCTACCTCAGTATAATCAATCACCTATGAACTCCAGGTTACCAGACTGCCTATTAACTTCTCTGATTTTACCCTATTTGACCTCTCCGCAGCTTTCAATACAGTTGGCTAACCCCTGTTCTTCTTGAAATACTTTCTTCTCTTCCCTGTTTTTACGCTTTCCAGATTTTTCTCTCCATCTTTGGTCCCTCTCTCAATGTCAAATTTATATTTCCACTTTTTCCTTTAACCATATGTGTATACACATATATCAAACTATGTACTCAGCATTTCTGTTTGTTTGAGTGATAATCATTGATAAGCCCCAAACTACTGATTTCTAGTTTCATTTCCAAAGATGCTTTTCCCAGTTCTCCACATCTTAGTAAATTATCCATATAGCATTGAAGCCAAAAACCCAATGATACAAAATTAGTAAGTGACAGAACTGGAATTTGAACTTGGGTTTATAGGCTCCAAATATACTATCTTTTCAACTTCATCATGTATTTTTATACAGTATATATCTATTAGTTTTAATTAATAGAGAAGAATAAAGATAGTGATAAATAGAATAAAAAATTGTGTTCTTACCTTAGCTCAAGTATGAAGAGACATTCTTAGAGTCACTAAATTCTTCATTCTCCTCCACTGCATAAAATTCTATGTTTCTTTAATGTCTGGGTTGTCAGTAAAGTTTTAAGGTCTGTTGGTATATTTTTACTGTGTAAAGATAGTGCAGTTTTGCTGTGGTGATATCTGTCTTTTAAAGAGCAAACTAAATAAAATGGGAGGGAAGAATTAACTAATAAGGATACAACTTCTGTAGTGAGCCTTTCTCTTAATGCCCTGAGGCAGAGAGAAATACAGATGAGCTTTTCCTTCTTATTAATATATTAATATTTTGGCTTTTGAATGTGGCCAGAGGTATAGGAGCATTTTACAAATGTGTGAAATAAAATCTCTTGTAATCTGACTGGTAAATTCTCAGTTATCATGAAAAAGGGGGCCATTATTAATGAGTTATGAGGTACAAGCTTTCTATAGAATTTACTTGGGAAAGCAATTTTCCCTAGAGTTGAATACATTTAGTAGAAGTATATTTTTACATTTATTTCCCTTATGTGAATATTTGCCTAGCTAAATTCTTTGTGCAGCTTTCACCAGGCTTCAATATTTACTGATATACAAAACTTTCTTGATAAAAACAGATATTTTGAGTTGTTTCAAAATCCGTAGGTGAACTAAATGCTTACAGAGCATGGTAATGTTTAACAATAAATTGTGTGTCCTTTATATAGCAAGTATATTTTAGGAAAATATTGTTTTAACACTTTCCTAGGGAAACAGTATTTTATATTTATATAATCTCTTCTCTGAGGCTCTCAAAACATTGAATCCCCACGGTGTGCTGTGAAAGAACTATCACTATCTTGTGATTAGAAATTGGAAAATTCCAGATTTAGCATGGTCAAATAAGGTTTCCCCCAAATTTCCAAGCAATATATAGTTGGACTTTAATTTCATATGTATTTAATGCATATATATAATAAATAATAATTACTTGCTACCTATGAGAAACTACAAGTGTCATTTTAAAAATTTTTGCAAAATATAGTTCTTTTAAGTACTAGGTTAAACATCATCATCTACATCAAGGATGCAAAACCTTAGCTTACTTTTCGTGTGCAGTTATAGATCTGAACATACCCTTGTTTTAGTCTCATATTTTAATGACATTACAATAATATTACTTATATTTAAAGTAAATTACTACCAGAAATCATCAAGCTGTGTTGATCACAGAAAAACAACAGGAATAAAAGCCAAAATTTGAAAGCTGTCTCCCTAAGAGTACATGTTAAAAAACCATGAAAAATGTCAGTTACTTGCATTATTTCAATCTTTCCTTTAGCTTTTTGATTTTTCTCAGACCTAAAATGGCTGTTTCTAAACGCAAAGGGCTTCTTATTTTCAACAATAACTTTATTAGCATAATCCTTCTTTTGTTTGTTCAATTATTCAAAACCTATTTTTGAACATCTGTCATCACCTTCGTAACGGAGGATGACGATGGCACACAGGGATAAGCACGATGACAAGGAGGTGCCCCAGGTGCTCTGGGACACAGGGGGCCGCTGCCTGCCGTAGCCTGGAGACCAGGAAGAGGGCGGATCACTTCTGCACTGTAACTGTACAGGAACATACCAGATTCCTAGGCAGTTTTAGTGGCAGCACAGGCTTTCAAGGAGGACCACAATCCCAACTACCCTTGCCCGCTTCTTTCTCATCTTACTTCTGTTGAAAGATTCAGTTGTTAAGAGTGGAGGGAAATGAACCAATGTATACGCTCTTTACTAATAAGAGGTCGGTCCAAGCAACACAGATGAAGAACAATAGAGGCCAATGGTAAAATAGCAGCGTACCTAAATTCCATACTTACAACACTGATTGAAAGCATTTTTAAATTTCTCATTTCCTCCCTTAGAAAATGATTGATTATAATGCCCATGTGCGCAATACAATTGGTGTACATATGGTGAGGCTGATGTCACCCAAAATGCCCCAAATTAGCATGTACCGGGATCAGCAAATTGGATGTCAGAGTAATAGTATGTTTGTATAATAAGTGACTTTCATATACCTCAAAGCTAATTAGCACATTAACATGATACTAGTTAAATATGATCAGCTAATTCATTGGTTTTGTGTTCATATTTTGTCCTAAGGCTATTTTTAAAAGTATTTTCATGCACTCTTAGCCTCTAAAAAGTACAGATAATAACATACCATTAGCTTGAGAACAGAAATGTCAGCTGGCAAACAACCTATTTGCTTTCTGATTACTGATTCAATACACATATTTTTTACATCCTGAAAATATTGAGAATTCCCAGAGGTAAATGTCCTTTAAGATAAGTGTTTAATAACCACTGGTGGACTATTTACCTTTCCGCATCACTTTGTCAATTTAACATTATTTATAGTTTTATTCGTATTTTGATATATTATAGACATTTACAGTGCTTGATAGCCCTCAGACTTTTACTTTTGTATGTGTAGAGTGTTGATAAATTTCCAATAAAATTTGTCATAGCCTCCCAAAAGAGTGTACCTGTTGTTGACATATATTCAGGTTTCTCTGTTGTTATGCTAATAACCCTCTTCTGCTTGTTTGGAAAGGGATTGAATTGGAAATTGTCAATAGCTGTGAAAAGAACAATGGTGGTTGTTCTCATCACTGTGAACATGCACTTGGTGGGCCCCATTGTTCCTGTAACCATGGATACCGGCTTGATTCAGATGAGAAAACATGCATAGGTAATGTATGGTAAATGCCATCTTCCTTCAGAATCGTCCTGGATTCATTTAGCCCTTTCTTCTCTAATACTTATTGCTGAAATGCGGGCCACAGCTCTCAAACTGCATGGAGAAATAAATCGAACAGTGGCTCAGGCTACTGGATAAATGTAAAAGAAACATTACTTGACAGAAAACATCATTATCTTTGGATATTTACTTTGAAGTTAAAGGAGCTTTAAAAACACTTTAACAAAATATATGGACTTAGTTTTATATCTGGAAAATATTTCAAGGGCTATCTAACCACTTAATGTAATGTGTACCTCAAACAACACATGCTACCACACTTTCTACTTTCTCTACTTCAAGCAGAAACGAAATATGTTCATTCGTTTTCACTTTGGTGATGATTTGAATGCATGTTCAACTTTGGTATGGCAGGAAGTTACCTTCCAAAAGAAAACCTTAAAAGATCATTTTTTGGAAATTCCCAGCTCAAACCCATCTTGAATAGATAACTTTTCCAGCATATTATTAGAACTTTTATCGTTTGCAACAATGAGAAAATTAAATTGCACTCCAGTCTTGCTTCATAATGAAATGTTGAATCTAGAGCTTCTGATAAAAGGGAATCTCTACTAAAAATATGGATAGTGAGCAGCAAACTATATTATTATGTGCTCTGGATCTGAGGGCACCAGCAAGCTCCTCTAAAACAACTTGCCATTATTCAGGAATTACGTGCCATATTTTTTTTTGTTTGATACTTTATATCACCTTTCTTAAAAACTATGAATACTAAAAAAACTTTGATCATTTTATGCTACTCAGTATCGTTAGAGACAAAGTGTAGTATTATAAAAGAGGAGGTGAATTTCAGAAATCTAAGTATTTTGGATTTTTTTTTATTATGTGGCAGAGTGCATTCCAAGGGATTTTGAAGTATTCTGGTTTCATAAATTACTTAACCAAAACAATGTCATTACTTGTATTTCTTGACCCAACATTGCCTCCTGCATTTTTCTGAGTCTGCAGTTGTTAATTTAATGAAATTTGTAGATTTCCTTGCTGCTTTTTATGTAATGAAAGATATGCTTATATTTTCCTACCTTGCTAATATTTGTATCTCTGGAAAAAATAAAAGGGTTTCCTCTTTTCTTCCTCCCTCCTTTGTTCCCTTCCTATCTGTCTTTTCACTAAAACTTTTGCTTGCAACGTCCAATGTGGTGTCTTTCCTTATTCTTTGAAAAGTACAATTCAGTAAAATTCTTATTTATAACTAGAACTATAGCATATGACAAGGTTAAAAATGTAGAAAATTACATACTTATGAGACTTCAACAGTCAACATGATCTTCTGTTGTTTACGGCTCAAGTTTCTTTCATTTCCCAGCAGTAAATAGCACTCATTCCTAAAGACCACATATTTACTATAGTAAGGCTGTGATTTTTTTTGGGGGGAGTATACATATACATACTTTGCCTATTTGCCTGAGAACAGGTTAGGGCCATGAATGATTTGTAAAACCATTCATGCATGAAGGAAATTAAAGAATTTTCTTTTTAGCTTATTTTAGGATCAACTTTATGAAAACATACAATGTGTGTATACATATTTATGATTCTATATATATACATTTGTATAAAAATATACAAATAAATATAAAATAAGTCATCCAGTCTGAAAATTGTCAATTTGTCTTGCTCAAATACATAATAAATATAAATTTATTAGAGCTAAAACCTAGAGATGTGTTAACACAATTTGAAAGACAGCTATACAAAATGCAATTTTCTGACCAGCAATAAGCTTACTACATCTAACAAGCGTTAGATATTAGAAAAAAATGTTTTTTCTAACCTTTGAGTCTATTCATCAATTGGGTATGGGACACTTGTACAGAAACTCAGTTTTTTTTACACAATTTAATTTTGACACTTTTCTGAAATCAGATGAAATCTTTAATTGTCTTGCCTGGCTACAACTGAAGCTCTATTTTTTGGATTAAGCTAAATTTTATGAACAGGTGAATTCCTCTGTAATGTTGCAATATATGGCATATTGGCCAATGTAGGGAAAAAATGCTTTCATTAGAAAGGAGTAAAATTAAAAGGGAAAAATAAGCAAGAAATAATCTTACCAAGTAAGATATAAAAAGAAGTCAAGAAATTTAGAAAACACGTAATGTAAGAGTTGAAGGCACACGGCATATTAAGAAAGGCTTGTGATATAAGAAGAATGAGGTCTCAGATGAGTTCCAGACTGAGGATGGTATACATGAAACAAGCTAGAAATCCCCCCAAGGAATAATAAAGAAGAATCCAACATGTATCATAAAATGATAGACTGAGGAACAGCTGTGTTCCTAGTAGCTGTGATACAGCTGTGTTCCTAGTAGCTGTGAACAAAGACTCTTGAGACAAACGTGTTTGAGAGCCCCGCTAGTATTTAAGAATATGTTAAAACTTATTTTTCTTTTATTTTTAAGATTTTAGTTATTTACTTTTAGAGAGAAGGGAAGAGAGGGAGAAAGAGGGAGAGAAATATCAATGTGCAAGAGATACATTGATTGGTTGCCTCTTGCATGTGCACAACTGGGGACCTGGCATGCAACCCAATCATGTGCCTTGAGTGGGAATTGAACCAGTGAATTTTAGGTTCACAGGCCAGCACTCAATCCACTGAGCCACACCAGCCAGGGCTTTTTTCTTTTCTTTTCTTTTTAAGATTTTATTTATTTATTTTTAGAGAGAGGGGAAGGGAGAGAAAGAGGGAAGGAGAGAAACATAGATTGGCTGCCTCTCGCATGCCCCCAACTGGGGACCTGGCCTACAATCCAGGCATGTGCCCTGACCAGGAATCGAACCAGCAACCTTTCATTTCACAGACTGATGCTCAGTCCACTGAGCCACATGGGCCAGGGCTACTTTAAAATTTATTTTAAAAAAATATAAAGGATAATGTTTTAGACGTAATCAGCTGAATTTTTAAAAGTAATTTGCCCTAGTATTCATGCTATTTAATTCAAAGGACAAAGGATGGTTTAATGAGAGGAAAAAATATCACCTAGAATTTTGTAACACTGCTTGTGACATTTTGCAAGAGAAAGAATGTTTGGTATCCAAATGACCTTCATTTAGGTATTTTATGGTGACCCCTCACCTTAGACAATTGACTGCATTTCCTTTCCTTCCTTTCTCTTGTCTTCATTTCCTTAACATTGGTACCCTTTCCAAGGTTAATTGGGGCGTTAACCTTTTATATCTGTGGCTGCTTCTGTAGTTAGGCAGCAATGGGATTTTGTAAACTCAGCACTGACAAGCCACATGACTCAACAGCTCAGCAAACACAGGGGGTTGAGTGGAACCAAGGGCCTATAGCCAAAAACCCTGAACACTGTTCCCAGGTGTCTAGCCTAAGGGAAGCAGTGGGTGAAGAGTCTGTTGCTACTTCGTAGCCAGCTATGTTGGAAATGATTGCCTCAAAACCCAAGCCATATAGATTGTTCTTTGGCTAAAGGGTTTCAATTTGACATCTTCTGGTGCATTTTTGTTTTCCCTTGGGGCAATCATGTCTACAGAGAAACAGTCAGGATTGTAGAATTCTGAGATAATAGTGCTGAAGGAGACTTAAAGAACATCACTTAAAAAGCTATTTATCTGATAGGACAGGCCAGGGTAATGGTGTCACCTACAGTAATAAAAAACCCTGACCCCAGTCATCCCAGTCAAAGCATTATTGCAAAGTTCAAGCAAATGCTCTGAAATATTCTGCAATTTAAAACATAATATTTAAAAAGATTGTCTGTCCTCTCTCTGAATTGCAATTGCCACTTCCTTTCCCATGTGTGAATTCCTTTTGCTTGCAAATGTTCTTTCACCTGAAGTTCTAGAATGAACACTTTGTAGAGTCGAAGACTGCCTCCCCTTTGCAGATATCAAATGTCCACTAAGTGGAATTTTTGGCTCTTCTTGTCAAGCTTTTATTATTACTATTATTATTATTATTATTATTTAAGTTCTCTATTTAGCCAAATTGCTGTTTAAACTGGAAAAATAGCGGAGATCTATTTTCCTGTGCTTATAAATTTATTTGGAGGTTATTTACATACTTTAAAAAAAATAACAGGCAGAGGAGAAGCACATAAAAAACAAAAACCCGAATGTGGACCTCACTTTTTTTGTATTATCGTTGCTTTGGTGTCTATACAATGTAGCCTGAGAAATAGAAAATGACTAGTGAAACAATTTTAATTTAGAAGCGAGGCTTATCAGCACTTCGATAGGCTGGGCAAATTCCTGACTTTTAAACAACAGAAGTGTCCTTCCGCCTTCAGACCTTGATGAATGTGAGAGCGGAGAAGCCTGCTGTGCGCGGCTCTGCATCAACTATCTAGGGGGCTACGAATGCAGCTGTCACGAAGGCTTTCGGATCAGCCCTGATGGTTGTGGATGTGACGGTAGGTTCCTGAGATCCCACATGAAATCGCTGATGCGCTGGGGCACTCAATGAAGGAGGAACCTGTGAGGAAGGGGGTTAGGGTGGGGAAGGGAAAGCCTTGACCCTAAAGCGAATTGGACTTCTGTGTGCTTCTGCCACTTTCTGTGGTACTAACATGGGCAAATCTAAATTCTGTGACCCTCAGATCCTCACCAGTAAAGTGAAGACAAATAGTAGGATTAGTGGGTAAAGTAATGAAAGTAATAAATGTGAAGTGTCTAGTACCGTGATTGACAAAGAGAAATCACTCAACTAAAGGTAGCTATTATTATTGTAGTACTTATTGGCCCATAATCCTTTTTACCTAACTTAATATATATGGGCAAGTGAGAGATCCTCACAGGCTACAGCACACTGTCATATGAATCACTCATGACAAGCTTGACGGGAATTAGAAAGTTGGTGGCTGAAAGTCACTTTAATTAGAGAACAGTAGCAAAAGGATTGCCAATTCATTGCCACCGTTCAAATCTCTATCAGAATCTTTTATATATATGATATTAATCGAGCTAATGCAAGTTTGAATGTCATTTTACAATTTTCTAACTTATTCTTTAAAATTGGTTCACTTACCTTTCAGATGATTTCTAGATTGTGTATTTATTCTCATAGGAGAGTTTGAATTTAATGAGTGCACTTCATTCACTTTTTTTTATGATTACATTAAGAACAGCTCATTTAAGTCTTTGCTATCATTTATTTTTTAAAGTTTGTTTTTAAAATATGTCACCTTTAAATTTTTATCTTATGATCACTATTACCATTATTTTGAACCACATTTTTCTTTAAATCAAAGTGAACATAAGATGATTTTTATCTTTTTTTAATTACAAAGTATTCAAGAGTATTATGCCTCAGGAAAAAATGGTGTTTTTTTGCTTAAAGAAACAAATTCCTAAATTGTGTCGAGGATGATAGGTGTGTTTCTTCATACAGATATCAAGCTCCTCAGCCTTGCTGGGTAGATAACACATAATTATGATATCTATATATTCTAAACACAGTAGAGTATGTTATCCTTTACCATATTCCATCCAATTAACAGGGCCCCCGAAATTTGAATTTCATCAACCATCTGCTCTTAAGCAGAGTGAGCCAAAAGATGATTGTGTGGTATGAATATACGTACTTGGGTACACCATTACAATCTGAGGTAAAGCTTAAGAACCCAGCCTCATTAGTAAACTGACTATTGTGAACACACCAACCAAAGTTGAAGTGGCATGAGATCAAGGCTTAGGGTTCTTCCCTCTCTAAACTTCTCCACAAACCTTGTTCAGAATTATGCATGGAATAAATGCTTCGTCACAGATATTGAATAATTCAATAATGAATGAACATTATGCAAAATGGTGCACAGCCTGAGACCATTGAATTTACTTTAAGTTTTAAATTCTTCATCAAAACCTAATGAATAAGGTGTCAGAAAGACCTCATCTATGTAGATGAACCACAGTAAACTTGGAAATGAGTGAAAGGAAAAAATTGACAGGATAAACTTGAGAAAGCATCGAGGGCTATGCTTTCTATGTGGCAATACATTGTCATTGATTAAAAAAGGTCGACAAGAGGAACACAAATATGCATATGAGTTCATAGTGTCTATTTTATCTCTCAGTGCCTAAAAACAGACATTGCTTAAATGTTCCTAGATGTGGATGAGTGTCTGGATATCAGCACAGCCTGTGACCAAACATGTATTAACTCTGTGGGAACGTACCACTGTACTTGTGAAGAAGGCTACAGAATTGGCAGTGATGGAAACACTTGCATCTGTAAGTCACGGTGAAGAATTTTATGGTGTCTCTTCTAAACTACTCCCATCCTCATTTTGTTCTTTAGGAGTCATGGAGAACACATATCCCTTAACTCAACCTGTCCTCCCCTTTCTCTCTTCACAGATCTTTTCCTTTTGTTCTCTCTGCTGCAGTTTGAGCTTTGTGCTGGCTGCTTCTCACCTTCATTTACAATGGACTTTTTGAAATGACCTCAAAGAATTCTACCTTTCAGTGGCCCCCTGCCTTGGCTGTCTAGTTCAAACTCTCATATCTCTCATCCGCCCTTGCTCAGTTTTTCCTTCTTTTAAACAGCATGTTGAATCCAGGTATTTTCCTGTGTGGTCTTAGCTTTAGATGATGATGAGTTAGAGGAAGAAGAAGAGGAATTAGAAGTTGTGAGGTTCGCAGGCCTTCTGTTCAAGAGCCCACCTCAACTGCTTCATTACATTAGTACCTCTCTGCTTCCCACCTACCAAGATGAACAAGACGAGGAAGAAGAGAGAACAGATATTCGAGAACTGGCTGCTTTGCCCCAAGTTGGTGAGTAAAAGAGTTTATCTCATTACAGTCACCTCTTTTCTTTATTGTTAGAGAATTCACATAAATTCTTTTACAGATTATCTCATTATCCATACTTAATGCCATCGAATGTTTTAACGTGATGTTAGCAAAAAAAATGGGGCCAGAATCACTTCTTCAGAGCTTCCTAGCAAATCCATCATCTTTTATCTTTCTTGCCTTTGCACTATGTAGGTTCGTGTAGAAGTAGGTGGTGGTGCAGGGTGGTGCGGGGTTACAGTGAAATGGAGCTGAAAAATATCTTTAAATTAACATAATGGGGAGACGGACTGGGACCTTTTAGTTCTGACTATTAAAACTCCATTAGCAATCACTTTTATATAGTTAAAAATTTACTTTAAATAGCTTTAAAATCTAGGTCCTTCTTATATCTTAAGATTCCTAGAATAAATTGTTTAATATGTTCAAGTGGACCAAGAAAATATCTTAAAATTGTGAGCAGTTTCTCTTCTATCCTCACAACGAAACTCAAGCATCATGTCACTTCTGATCAAAGTAAATTAGCATGCCCTCTTTCAAAAGGAACAGTTTGCCGCCAGTCTGCTGCTTCTTTTTCTTTCCTTTGTCAAACAGAGCTGCTCTCTTTGTTCTCCCTCTATTTGTTGTACTTTAACAGTGTCAGAGCTTGAAGATTGCTTTGGAGTGCATTCAGTAAAATGGCAGAAATATTTTTATACGATCATGAATCATAATAATAATATCAATCAAGACATCTGCATTAAAAAAAATGCTTTAATGTCTCTCAATTAAACTCCCAATACTTTGGTGACTGAAAGCCCGCATGGAAAGAGTTCAGGGCTCCCATGGCAGTCAGAGCTTGAATGGCCAAGATCAGGAGAGGAGAGAGGCTCACACAGGGAAACGGCCATCTCTGCTGCTTTTCTCCTTGAGTCATTTGCGAATGTATGGGCTGTGCATGCAGAGAAGCGAGGAAATCTGAAAGCTGAGCTGCTCAGAGGAAGAGGAGCTAAGCAGAGTTATCAGCAGACTGTGGCGATGGGGAGGTAGAGGCCGCAGCCCAGGCTCTGCCAAAGGAGAGAGAACTGGCTCAGCCTGGCAGCCTTTCAACTGGGACGCCTGAGAGACCCCAAATCAAAGAACTGTTGAAATGGAACAATTCTTAAAACAACTGAAATCAAGTCTCTCCATTCTTATTCAGATGAAGGTAATTTCCTTCAGGACTGGAATTGAACACTTCATGGGACACTTAGACAATAGCATACTACACAGCCTTAAAAAAGCGAGTGTACACAGGAAGGGTGAGTCTTACAAACATTGTCCTGAATGAGAGAAGAGTGATACCAAGAGTACATACTTTACCATTCTATTTACTTAAAGTTCAAAAGGAGGAAAACAGTCTATGGTGACAGACATCAGGATAGTGCTTAATTGGGGAGGTTAATGATTAAGAATCACTAAGTCACCTTGGAGTTGTGGGGCTGCTGGCAATACGGTAGATCTTGATCTGGATGACACTTAATGGGGTTTTTTACACTGTCAAAAATATAAAGTGTACACTTGAGATTTGTGCACTTCTCTGAATCTATATTAAGTCTCAATTTTAAAAAATTACTAAGAAAAAAAAACAACTTGGCATAAAAAAGCCTGGGAAAAGAAGCATCAAGTGCCAGGAATGTTGATTATTTTTGTGTTTTGAAGTCAATGAAATTTATTTTCATATTTTTTTATTTCATTAAACATTCTAAACATTCTTTAGGGACTGTATTTCAGTAGTATCATTGGCAAATGTGAAATAAACTTTATTTTAAAAAAATCTCTTGTTGTGTTTTTTTGGGACTCCGTAAGAAATATGCTCAAGGATGGTGCATGTGTGTGAGTGTGAAATTAAGTGTGTCACCTCTATGTTCCAGTCTGTTTAGGCCACACCTTCGGTCCCAACTGCAGCTTGAGCTGTGAGGACTGCATGAACGGAGGCAGATGCCAGGAAGGGGAGCGTGGGTGCTCCTGCCCAGCAGGCTGGCGTGGCGTTCTTTGCAATGAAAGTAAGTGACACCCTGAAGAATTGGTAAGAGGGTGATATGTTCTCCTTTACTGCTGGTAAACTACTGGAGGGTTCTCCTATACTGTGTTCTCCCTACAATGTTTTAACAAAGTAAGCAATTGATATGCGTGAAAAATCAATTTATTTGTTGTACATAAAGAATGCCTGTGAAGCACAGAGGTTTTAAACCGAACATGTGATTAAAAGGAGAGATTTTGTGTTCCTTAGGAAACTTGATGTACTGTTTCTTGTTTATCCATAGAACGTTAAAATTAATAAAGGATCCTAATATTCTAGGCCTATAAAAATCCCTCCACTTAAATAAGTCATTAGGCCCAGGCAAGCGATCCCCAACAAAGAAAAAAGAAAGGATTTGTGTTACAAAGTACAATTAATGGGATTGCTTGACGGCTGCTACTTTCTGTTTGTGTTCTTTTCTTTCTTTTTCTTTTCAAAATATGTTAGTAAGCCAATGACACTTTTAAGTTTTTATATGTCTCTCATAAAAAATATAAAATATTTTTAAAATAATACCTTTATATTTTAAATAAAGATATGCTTGCAGGTACTAACTGCCAAGTAATCAAAACAAAATATATTAACTATCTTTGTTTCCTCTTTCTCTTTTTAAATTTATCTTAAAATTTTTTAAAAGGAGTGATTTCTTAGTCTTTATTATTAGCTTGGAAGATGATATGGGCATATTTTAAATACCCTGCGTATAGGAAGAAAGGGCACAAATTTCAATTAGGAAATGGATATACTACTTGAGTCACAACATGGTGAACTGGTTTCAACCAAGATCCCCGGTTGGGGTGTTGAGGGCCTTCCTCAAGCATCCCTCTGCGCATGTGTCCCTTCTGCTCAAAAGACCTCAAGAGCATCCCATTTCCTGATATGTAAAGCCTATGCTTCTGACCTGCTCACGGGTGACCATCTAAAACCAGGCCCTTCTAAACCTTTTGCTTTTTATTCCAATCACAACTCTTTGCCCATCTTATCATTTTCAACAAACTGAATTGCTCACTACTTAGTGTTGTGCACTTTTCATATTTATGCCTTGGGCTTAAGAGCCATCTTTGTCTATTTCCACTTCTTGTATGAAATTTTTCTGATGACCCCAGTCTAACCATCACCATTTAGATTTCGGTGGATGTAAAGTCACTCTCTCTCTTTCTCTAAATTGGCCTAGGGTCAGCTCTTCTGTTCCATTTCTCTGCAAGCATCTAGGCACCCCCCCCCCACACCCATGGGTCCATTGTTTGGTAACATGACTACACTGAGAGCTCACTGGCAAGGTCCTAGTCAAGTTCCTACAAACTAGAGATACCTAGTGCATGAATGAGGAAATAAATAAAACTTGGTATTGATGTGCTCAGATACATTGACCTGCAAGTTGACATTGGCCTGCAGCTACATGAAATTGGGATCAAATAAATGTTATTGCATGATTAAAAAGAAGTAAACACTTACCTTATATTGTAAGTTGTGTTGGTAAATATTTCTCTTCCAAAGCCTTGATTTCTAACAGGGTCTCATGAGAAATGAAACTAAAAATCTATCTCAGATACATGAGAATATAACATGAAGATTAATAAAGAAATATTGAAGATGGACTTGCTAATAAAATGAAGATGAGATGATTCCTTCTTTGGCTTTAGAAAACTGAGGGGATTTTTAAAGTTTTCCCATGTCCTATATAAGAAAGTGTCCTTGAAAGCAGAAGATTGTATCTTTTTTTTTTGTATTTTCTCTCTTTCTTTAATTTATTTTACAAAAATGAAAACAGAAGAATCTGAATTAAAAAAAAAATGTTCACTGATTCTTTAACAAAAAAGGAGAGTGGGAGCATTTTTAAAATATCCCTGTAAACTGCAATAAATGGAAGTGACCAATCATTCATTACCCATATTTTTAAGAGTCCCAGCTCTTCAAATGCAGCAAGGAAAATTTACAAAAAGCATTCTGCAGAGATCTGGAAAGTTAGTTTTCCTACTGAGTAGATCTTCTAGCCTAATATCTTTATTGGTCTATGATGAAACATCTGCTTTGATTTGTAAGAATTTACCAAGTAATTGAAATGAAACAATTTAAAAATTATCACATATTAATTTTAATAGCACATTTCAGAGCTCCATTTCTTTTGAAGAGATTTTATATTGACTATTTCATTTGTTATTATGAGACTCCACCCAATAGAAAGGGAAGATTGGAGTATTTTCAAATGATAAATGAGTTATATACAGAGGGGAAAATTCATGACTCCATCCAAATGGAACCTCATCCAGCTCTGATTTGGGGCATGTTTGTTTTAAAAGTTGTGTCTCCAGGGCAATTGCTCTGTTTGATGTTAATGAAGTATTTAGCAAATCTGTGCACTATGTGATACCATATTCTACTTTGTGGGGGAGTGACAGACAGCAGTGTCGATTTGCCAATGTTGATTTGATGACTTGCTATAATCCAGATACTGTAGAAGCTATTTAAACTTCCTAGAGCTTTATTTTTCAGGCGCAATTTTTAAAAAATCATCTCCTCTGTTGTTGCTGTAAGAATTCAAAGACTTACTGCATGTAAATTAAAAATGGAGACCTATACCAGTGTTTGTTGACAGTTTTTCTCTTGCTTTTTTTCTTTTCCTCTTTCTTTTTTCTTTTCTTTTTATACTAGCCTAGGGCTTGAAAGCAAAGAAAAAAGTGAATAAGAAACCAAGTTTCCATATCAGCATCGGGAATGGTGTGGGTGGGTGAGTAGAAGGGGTGGTATAAATGTGCCTTTATAGTATTTAGTCTATTAGGATAAAAATAGCAATTAAAATGGTTACTGAAATTTTCTAAACACCTGTATTTACCTACGTTAAAATTAAAATATAACTACAGACATTTTCTCCAATTTATTATTTTTATTGGAATACTAAACACTTCCCCAAAACCAACAAAACAGTTGTTTGCTGGGCTTCATCATTCTTTGACAATGCAAAATACCTTGGGACCCTCAAGAAGTCGCATTCATTCCTAGTTCAAAATACATGCCATTTTTTTCCTCCATTTTCCTCCATTTTTCCAAGTAGAAAGTTTCTCATTAAGGCCGGTTACAGTAGTACAGCAAAGATACCTAAGCTTTGAAAATGTGAGGGTTAGAATTTAAGGAACAAGGTAAAATTTTGTGCATAAATCTTCTTAGCAGTACCTCAGTCATCATTTTAAGTAGCGCTGTCAGTAATCTCCAGGGATGATTATGCCGCTCAAGCTGGGAACATGCCAGAGACCCCTCCCGGGTCTGCAAATGACAGAGATTTTAATTACTTGGTATCCATTCTAATAGAAAGACAAGTTTTTTTTCTGTTTGTACCACAATGAGTATATTATATACTGCTTGTTCAACTTTTTCATTTTCTTTATAGCTTGTTCTCCAGAGACTGGTGGACAGGAGTGTCAAAGCATCTGTGATTGTCAGAACGGAGGCACCTGTGATCCTTTGACCGGGAGGTGCCAGTGCCCCCCTGGGGTGCATGGGAAAACCTGTGAACATGGTAGGAATGTCTGGTGCTCACATGAGACAACTCTTTAAGGTCTTGAAGTTCCTAAAGGGCAATAAACTAAGTAAAATTTGTCTCTGTATTTTTCAAGGTAACTCCTTGAAGTTATAAAAGGCTGTGTATATATATAATTGCTTTTGCTGATGACATGGAACAGAATGTGTTACTTATATCTCCAAATGTGATCTAAGTAGGATGACTCCTGATTTTTTTTTAAAAAAAGTAAAAAATAAATAAAAAACATTTTTCTTCCACTGAGCAAAAAGTTGGGTTTGTGTGTACAGGTCTGGATATAGGAGTTGGAGAGAATATATTTGCTCTGCATAATAAAACAAAGAGAAATGGAGCTCCTTGGACAAATCCAGAAGGAAATGAGATGAAAATCAGAGAAGAAAAGGAGAAGAGGGAGGGAGAAGAAAGGGAAAAAAATGACAGATGGAAACTCACAAAATGCCAGTGAGGGTTGTATATGGATTTTTCGTGGAAACCAGTGAAGAGGCCACATTTTCTACACGGATTGATAAAGCCAAAGAAGAAACCACTTGTCCAGGCCCAAAACCTGCAGGCAGAGAGTCAGGGAAGACTCAAGTCTTCAGGGTTTGCCAGAAATCATGAGGAGTTTGTTGTATTCTCACAGATCATGAAACTGGGAAGACGGATGCCAAGTTTAATTTGCTCTCTGAGAGGTGCAGGAAGGCTCCTGCTGGCATCCCAATTATTTGGTCTCCTAAATGATATTTGTCTATGATATGATAATGTGTGATTTGTGGTCAGAGCATGAGGAGAAGACAGACAGTATGAACCACAGAAACACTCTACATGAGGGACGCTTAAACAGAACACTGCAACATGAGGGGGCATGCGACAGAGAGAGTGTGAAGGGGGAGCTTGGCCAGACTGACGCGGGAAAGCGTTTTGTGCATTAGAGAAACCGGAAGAAGCTCAACTGATGCAGCAAAGTCCTTCAGGGAGATCTTAGTGCCACGTGGGGTCAGGCAGTGTAGAGTTCATAGTCTTGTTAAGTTTGGGTCTTAACCTGACAGCAATGTCCCATCATTGTAGAACTTTAGGCAGAGGATATAACATCATTATTTGTGGCTTTTAATATAGCTCTCTAGCCTCGGTCCAGTCACATTGGAAACATCTCACCTTTTCAAACTCCTTATTTCATGTAACAACAGCTCTAGGAAGTTTTGCATGTGGATTAAAACTTGCTTTGTTTTTCCTTCCACCTCTAGGATGCCCAAAAGGACTCTTTGGGAAGAGCTGCAAAAGGAAATGTAACTGTGCCAACAATGGCCATTGCCACAGGGTGTATGGTGCCTGTGTGTGTGAGCCAGGGCGCTTCGGGAGGTTCTGTCATCTGAGTAAGTAACAGGCTTTTACATTTGCTCTCTCTGTGAAGCAAGGAGGCTCAGAAAAGTACTAAAAATATATTAGACAAAGGAAGAGACTAAAAAATATATTTTATATAGTCAGATATATGATGATTTATGTTCTAGTCTTTATTTAGCCTATTTATTTTAGAGAATCTAGATTTTGATCAATGAAAGAAAAATATTCCTGAACGCTTTACATTCTTTTCTCATTAGTGATTACCTTAATTATTGAGAGAGGGTTATTAATAGCTCATTTTAGAAGAAGACTTGACACTTACTGGGAGTTGAATATTAAAAGGCCCAGAAGAAGTCTCCATTATTTCTGGGTTCTAGTGAATAGAAATATCTTTCCCTAAAATTTCTGCAACAGGCTATTTATTTTGCATTTTGACCATCAATCACATTTTGCAAAAGATGTGAAAAGACACAATCACCAGTAAGTACTTTAGCCTCCTAAATGACTTACAGAATTTCTCATAATGAGACATCTCTGTGTGCCGACCATGCCATCTTGAAGCCACATGCAAGCCCTTGTGAACCTGAAACTATCTCCACGCTATTCCTCCACCTACTCTGCATGCCCTCCTCTAAAAACCCTTCCTGAATGGGCCTCAATAACACCCTGACCCATTTCTTAATAGGAGACCTTTTAGAATTTTATATTGTATTTTTAGTTGAATGTCCATGAGTTTTGTCTATATTATAAAAGGTGTACTACTAGAAAGCAGAGAGTAAGTTGTGAATACTCCAGAAAGGGAGCCCGTGAAGGCAACATGGACAGCTGAGCCTGGGGCCAGAGGAAAGGTCTGGCTTAGGGAAGCAACAGAGAAGGGGAGAAGGCATGTGGAAGTGTGGGAAATGCCAGCGCAGAGGGTGTGTTACAGAACATCATATACCCCCAGAACACGCCAGGAGGAGAAAACTCATCTAGAAGCAAAGATAGCATCATTTCTATTATTGTTTCTCTAGGGCAGTGATTTTCAAACTTTTTTCTCTCCTTGCACACATAAACTAATTACTAAAATTCTGTGGCACACCAAAAAATATATTTTTGCCAATGTGACAAAAATAGGTATAGTTTTAATTAATTTACAAAAGCTACAATACTAATTATCTACTTTTTATTCTCCAGAGAGACTTTTTAACAAATCAGGCGCCTATACTTGTAGATGAGGATTTCTGATACCAAGAGTTAACCAATCAGACACAACCTTATTATATGGTGTGACCAAAAAGACAGAGCATTCACATCCAATGGCTATTGTTGTGTTGGCTACTGTCAATTTTTTATTTGACAGTCTAAGGGAAAAGAGGTCAGAGCCCCTGACTAAATAGTCAGGGATTGCATCTTTTAAAAACTCTTACAGCACACCAGTGGAAAATTGCTGCTCTTGGGTAACAAAGTACATCCTATTTTTTAGTAATAACTTTTAAATACTTTATAAGGCAATAACAGATATTTTGGCATAAAAACATTAAAATCATAACTCCTCTGGTGAAACATTTAAAGAGCAGGCAGTGGTAGTGCTAATAGCAGTTAGCATTTTGAATGTGACCATCTTAAGAAAAAATATACACATTTCAGTTCTTCAAGACACTTTTGGCTTAAATTGGAGACTTCGTTTAATCATGCCACTTGCCTGGCTCTGAGAAGCTTGAGTTTGCAACCATATTTTAGTTTTCTAGAGCTCTTGTAATGAAGTGCCACGAACGGACGGCCTTAAATAACAGAACTCTATTGCCTCTCAGTTCTGGAGACTAGAAGAGTCTGAGTCTGGGATCACAGTGTTAGCAGGCCCCGCTCCCTCAGAAGGTGCTAGGGATCAAGTCCAGGCCTCTCTCCTAGCTTCCTTGGCTTGGGACAGGGTAACTGCAGTCTTCACATGCCATTCTCCCTGAATAAGTGTCTCTGTGTCCAAATGTCCTCTATTTCTAGGTCACCAGTCATATTAGACTAGAGGCCCCATCCTACTACTTTAGTATGACCTCATGTTAACTAATTACATAAACAATGACATAATTTACAAATAAGGTCTCATTCTGAGTTATTGGGGCTAACCATGTGAATCCATTCACATGGCTTCAACAGGTGAATTTTGGGAGGACACATTTCAGTGCAAAACAAATGCTGAGTAGACACTAGATTGATAAAGGAAGTTACTTCTCTCCCTTTTTCTTTTTTCTCTAAGCATGTTTCCAGTTCCATGTTCTTAAAATACCCATCTGTCACATTTAAGCATTCCTTTGTGCTGGAGCTGTCCCCTGAACCCCTGTTCTACATGCTGAACCAGAAAAAGTAAGGGCATGGAAGTCGGCCCAGGGCAGTGAGTGTTCTGGAATGAGCAAGGAAAAGTCTACAGCGAGGAAGGCAGTATCTCTTGAGAGACCTCGGGAGCAGGGTAGGGGTCTGGGCAAGGACTCAAAACTTGGAAGCCACAGGAAAGATGAAAGGATTAGTATAATTTGTCATCTAAATATGTAAATATTAATAGTGAAAAGGAGCCCTGTTAATAATTCTTTCTGCTTTAGGGGTAACTGTCTATCCCTGGCAGGGACAAGAATCACCCTACATGGCAGCATTGTAACCACCATTTTAAATTATCTCTGCTAATCATAGCAGAAATTAGATGTTAATTTCCATTCACCAGAAGGTCAAATGACTCATTTTGTTCTTTAAAACCATGTTTCTTAACAAAACCTATATAGGCGTACAATAGAGGGCACTTGAAGGACTTGTATTTGGTAAGCCCCTTGGCTATCTGTAAGGGGGGAGAAAAAATTGTCAGAAGTATATTTTGCAAAGGGAATTGAATTACTGTAAGTCAGTCCTCAAAGAGAGATCTAAGGGTAGGTTTTCCTGAATGCAAAGGTAGGACTTTTTCAGAATATAATTCCTGTGCTCACTATCATCCATAAACTCAACAGCATGGGGGAAATAGTGAAGGAAAGGCAAGCAGCATTGGCCAAAGCGTGGCCAAGATAATCCTGCTGTCACGATGAAAGTCTTGTGCTATGTGCACAATGTAAAATTATTTCCGATTACCACAGAATGAAAGGGAAGGAAAACAATGGTGAGCCTTCCCATCAGTGCTTGTCCATCATCTCCACGCTGCGGCAGGATGAATATGGGGCTGGCAGGCCTTCACAGGCCTTGGAGAATATTAACTACGAGCACTGCAGGAGCACGTTGAGAAGCAATTTCTCTCCCAGAAGCCCCAAAGCCTTTTAAGTAGTTCAGGCTTCACCGTTCACATCCAGTTGCCAAAAAGCAAATGAATTACCTGATTTGAAAGACATTTGTTTCCCTGTCTTTTTGTTGTTGTTATTTTGGCACTTAGGATGATCCCCTTGTTTTCCCCATAATCAGGCCCCACAGAACTGCATGCCTGTGCACTAACAATGTATGGGGGGAAAAAAGCCAAAGCATGGCTTTCAAGTGACGGTGCACTTCAATCTGCTTGCAGACTGTCCCAAGGGGGCCTATGGAGCTGGCTGCTCCTCAGAATGTCAGTGTGTGGAGGACAACACCCTGGAATGCAGCGCCAAAAATGGCAGTTGCACCTGCAAATCTGGTTACCAAGGCAACAGATGCCAGAAAGGTACAGTCTGATGATGAATTTTCTTTCTTTTCTATTAACAATGCTCAGCCTTTGTTCAGCACCATCTGATCATTAATTATTTAATCTACCACTGTCCTCAGGAGACGGGTACGCTTTATCAATCCCCTATTTGCAGGTGAGGAAACTGAGACACAGGGCAATAAAGGTATTTAACCTTGTCATCTCAACCTCTACTGTTAGCTGTCCCCTTACCAGTTTGAGCAAGGAAGGGAAGAAAGATCACATGGCAGAGAACCTTATCCTAAGAAGATTAAAGCTGGCTGATCACTTCTTTGAGGTGAATGAATCAACCAAAGGCACTGCAACTTTTCAGAGTTAAAAAATTAACTTTTTTAATATCCAAAGACAGATCATTCAAACAAATACAATTCAAAGATTCTAACCACAGAAAAATTGAGAAAATTTAAACATAAAAAAATTGTGTATGTATTCTTACATGTTTCAACTTCAGTCACCTTTAAAGTATTCTCCATTTGATGCAATACACTTATTGAGACTTTTTTTTTTCCCATGGCTCAAAACAGTTTTTGAACTTGTCAATTTTGATGCCTTTTAGCGCTTCTGCCTTTTTTTTATTTCATCTCTTCTGCATTGACAAAATGTTTCCCTTTGTAGACTTTCTTTATCCAGGGACACACAAAAAAAGTCACTTGAGGTGATACCGGGTGGATAGGGAGGGTGGGGTAGGGGGTCATGCCATTTTTGGTGGAAAACTGCTGAGCACTCAGCACGATGTGGGCAGGTGTGCTTGTAGATCACCCTTCATGAAACGGGCAAACACGTTGAGAGTCTTCAAAAAATTTTCACTGAAGCCAAATGCAGCCTCTCACAACAATGCCAGCTGGTGCACTGACACAGATGTGTTTCTAGAGCACTCACCTAGTAGGGGAAGCTTGTACTACAAGGGGTCTGCCCTCCAGAAGATAATTCCAGGGTTTGTTTGGTTTTTTTTGTGGAGGGGCAATCTCTCCGTATATATAGCAAGACTGAACATATAATAAATAAAATTCCCATAACTAATAGCAGGTGAACTCTCTGCCTTTGATATGAAGCAAAGGGCAGTCTTGTTTAAATTCAGGAGATTTCATAGGTTTGAAAGGAAGCCATCATACCACTGGGTGAGCTCACAGAGACGGGCCCTGGGTTTGGGGTTGTCCTTGGGCCTGCTGTATTGCATGGAACTCCTTGCATTATCTTCTCCAGGCAGGTGCAGGGCCTGTCAGAGCTGACTGAAAGGGAGGATTGTTCGAGGCCTCCCAGGTTGTCCTGTGGCTACTGAAACGGCATGTGTAAGAAGCAATGTCCATCTAGATTCTGTGGAGTGAGGGCTCTTTAGGGAGCTGGGTTGTGACTTTCTGAGCAATGGGGAAATACACGCGGAGAAACAGAAGCCTGACATTGCACAGATGTGTTTTCTATGGTATAAGAGTGGGTCCCATGCCAATCTTTAAACCTCTTCCTGCTTCAACTGATTTTTAAGGCTCGAGGCAGCCCCTTGTTCATTTCCTCACTGGAGAAGTCATGCCCTGGAAGGCAATGCATGAAGACACAATACCATATACACACACCTGGGTAAATTTAATTTATTCTGATAACATTTTCTTAAAGCAGCTGCTGAATATACTATATTGGAAAATGCTTCTGAGATTCCCACTGAGAAGGAAAATGAGTCGAAAGTATATGTAAATCAGCAAAATAGAGAGGTCACCATAATCTCTGGAAAACATATTATTTTTCAATCAGATAACTTTGTCCAATTCTGATATTTTTGTCTAACCACAAAATGAAATTATGAATCCAAGCGGAGTGGGTGAGTGGGATCACCTGATTGGCAGCTGAAATCAAGGCAGAAAGAGCTCTCCAAGACACGTGCGTGATGAAAATCAGGCCTGTTTTTCTTTCTCTTTTTCAAAAGAGTAAAGTGGCCCAAGTGCTCCTAGAGCTAGACGTATCTGTAAAAATCTTGACTCCAGACCTGTGTCTAGATTGCAGATGAATAGTTCATTAAAGACTGCGAATTGTTTCAATGGCGCTAATGAACTGTGCTCTCCGCAATCAGCACCAGGACCTGTTTAGCCCATCAGCAATGACTTTTAAGAGTAGAAGAGCTGGTTTCCACACGAATGTGTGACATGGCAGAAAGGAGTGGGAGGGAGGGGGGAGCCAGCCAGTGTTTTTGTTTTGATTAGTTTGCAGCCTGAGGTGTTTTGGACCCCGGCTGCAGACAGACCTCTGATGTAGTGGGCCTTGGCCCAACCTGCCCCTGGAGTCCATCTAAGGAGGCTTAATCAACCCTCGTGTCATTACAATAAGGACAGGTTTTTGTTACAATAGTTCCACATTATATGAACTTTAATTTGAAATCTGGTAGGTCTCTAAGAGCAGGTTTATTGACTTGAAAGGTGCTGAGTAGGTAGTATTGCAGCATAAGTTTGGTGTACGGTCTGAGAACACCAGTTTTGGAAGCCAGAGGAACTGGGTTCAATTCTGACTTTGTTCCTTACGAGCTCTATGACTCGGAGAAAGTCACTCAACCTCTTCAGGCCTCCGTTTCTTATTTAAAATGAAGCTAAAGTTGCTCGTGTCACATGGTGATTTTTATAGAAATGTGAGCTAATTTATGTAAAGCATGTGGCACAGAGTAAGTGATCAACAGTAAATAGCCAGAAACTGGCATAAATACCCCAGAAAATTGAATAATTCCCTTGTTCAATGACACTCTGCCCAGGAAAGCAGATACTTCACAGGCCAACTTGGTCTGATGTAACTTTCCACAGTTGCGAGATGTTTAGAAAAGCTTCACTGTTTTCCCTGTTTGAAAAGAATGCTCTCTACCAGGTGTCTAATTCCAGGGGTTTCAATGGTAAGACATATGCTGAGACCCTCACTGAGCCCTCAGTGGTCCCTGCAGCATCAGCCTCTTTTCCAGCTCAAAGGGCATTCAACAAAGCAGCACTTTGCCCCTTTATACATTGTATGCTCTTATAAATACACGAATTACAAACCTCTGGGGTGATTATTCTGGTTTACAATAGAAGTAAAGACTAGGAGAACAGGATTCAGGCAGCCATTTGGGGACAGCTTCCCCAGCGCCGTGGCTCCTAAGCTTCCTGTACAAATTACATCTCATTTTCAGGTTTTGTTCTGTGCAACTGCCTCCAAAGACATATATCAAAATTGCTTCCATTGTTACTGTCTGGAAAAAACCACATTTTTAAACTTAAAAAAAAAAAAAGCCAAGCTCTGTATCTGTTTCCAAAGTGACAAGATACAGCATCATGTTGATTTCTTCAGGGATCGTTTTTAGAAGTGCTATAAATCCTTGGAGGCTACTCAAATGTTTGTTTGTTTGCAGCCCAGTGGTACACACATCCACTCACTCACACACACGTACATGCAGCACTTTTCCAACTCACTTAGACAATAACAAAAATCTGGGACCATCTTGATTTGTCACAAGTCTTAGCTCTTTTCTTTCTCTTCTTTTGATTCTCAAGCCTGCCCCAAAGGCCTCTGGGGAACAGAGTGCCAATTTTCCTGTGGGCCCTGTGAGAAAGGAGGTCAGTGCAACAAAGAAACTGGAAGCTGCGACTGCCCTCCTGGTTACACAGGAAAAGCCTGTACCATGTGTAAGTCATTAATCTAGAAAAGGTAGCCAGCGCAGTCAACAAAGCTCTTAGCTTTATAAATGCTTTGTTTTCTCACTTCTCTATGACATTATGTTAGGGTACATCTTTCAATTATTGTTATCTGACAAAGCATTCCAATACTGGGTGGCTTAAGACAATGATTTATTATTATTTCTTTTGATCCTGTGGGTATAAGATGGCTCTCCTGTTGGTCTTACCTGGAGTCACTGGTGGCTGCTTCTGGTGAGATTGTCTGGGAAACGGACTTGACGAGGCATCTCAGCCAGGGGACCTCGTCTTTCGTGTGTGTAGCGTTTCCACACGGTTAGCTTGGGCTTCCTCATTGCATAGTAGCCTCAAGACAACAGTTGAAGGAGTGTCCCCAAAATGTGCAAGTGGAAAGTGTGAAAGTGTCAGAAGTTTAGCTTCAGAAGCCACACATCATCACTTCTGACGCAATCTCTTGCTTACAACAAATTATGAGGCCAGCCAGATTCAAGGGGAGGAGAAAGAGATTCTATCTCCTTATGGGAGGAGTGACAAATGTCATTGCAAAGGACCTGCGGGCTGGGAGATAGGGTTGCAGCCATCTTCGCAACCAATCTACCACAGTATTTAAAGTTATACTGAGAGGCACTCTGAAGAATCTGTTAGGCTGTATTTGTAATTCTTGTCAGAACGGAAGCAGATAATAAACTGATAAAAAGCCATTAGTTAAAATGAATCTGCTTCAAAGAGCCAGTAGAACTACCACCCTGCTACATCCTTTTCTGCATCTAAGTCTTACATCACCTCTGTTAACCCTGCCTGTCCTGCCCTCTGGACTCCATCCACAGTGGGACATGTACCTTGAGAACTTGAGAGAAGCTGTGGGCTGGATGATAACGAACCTATTGTCTCTGTAATTTTTTTCAATTACAGCTGACATACAATACTACTTTAGTTTCAGGTGTACAACATATTGAATAGACATTTATATAACTTACAAAGTGATCACCCTGATAAGTCTAGTGCCCATCTGACACCATACATAGCTATTACAATATTATTTTTACATTACTATTTTAAAGATGTCTAGTAAAGGTTAGCAAACATCTGTCGTTTGTCATGATCTATTATTTTACCCATTATAAATAATGATGTGAATTAGCTCTCAGTGCTTAGGAATTTCTATAAATCAGCAAGCAAATGAAACCTAAATGTAAACATAAAATGTAATACCTAGATAGTATTTAGTACTGAGCTAATCATCTGATCATTTGGGGAATCCATTACTGCCCCTAAGGAAATGCCTCAAGCCACAGTGATAGGACAAGCGTCTTGCCTGACAATTTTTTGGATATAACTAGGTAGTTTTTACTTTAGGACTGTCATTCTGGCTCTGTTGACAAGCATTTCAAACAGTATAAAAGTATGTTGCTGCAGCGGTTGGCTATCCTTAACCTACTTGTTTGCTTTAAGGAAAAGCTTAAAGGTAAGAATTTACATATTCAAAAGGTAGTTACTTGCTATTTCTACAGTGCAGTGACATTTTCTGTCTAACTCAAATTTAATGGAATAATTATTAAGCAGATAGTGACAAAATTTGCACTGTTCCAATTGTCAAGGCGATATAAATAGACTATTTAAAAACAAGTGAAGAGAAAGATAAACTGTCCATTCTTTAAAATATTAATTTAATAATTATGTTACAACTCTGTTCCATTCTAGGATTTCAAACCCCAGGAAATAGAATATGATAGTTCTAAGAGATTTTGATCACCAGTAATAGTGTCTTAATTTTGTAGGCAACCTGATACATGAGCTAATGTATTGCATTGAATAGGCAAAATATTCCCCAGCTCCTAGTCCAGGTCAACTTTTGCATTATATGTTATCTGATTTTACACACATAGACACAAAGCATGAATTATATAATATTATAGTAACATATTTAGTAAAATGAATGGAACCAAAGAATATGACTATTAAAAATACTTCATGCCCACTCCACAAAGAGAGTGTGGCATTTACAAAACAGCTTGTGTTTTAAGAAAAGCATACATTTCTCTGAATATTCTGTTATGATGCTTACAGAATTTTAAAACCCAGTTACTCTGCATAATGAATTTAAAATACTTATAAGCTATACAAGGTAATACCTTTTAGAAGCAGGAGTGATCAAAAAGTTCTTTCTAAAGATATTAGCTTTATATAAATTCTAACTTTTAAAAGTGGTAAGTACAATTACTTGGGGAAAGTAATTCTTTTTTTAAAAAGGGTTTCATTTCACATTTTTAGAAAACTCTCTGTATTATGACAGTTTGTGCCTTTTTCCACTCTGGAAGGAGTGGTGGCCGAGGTGGAGGCTGTGGCTCCATCAACACTGTGACTCACATCCTCTGTAAGAACCCACCACATCAGCAAAGGGCAGGTCCATCCTATATATCAGGCATTTTATCAAGTAACTTGAAAAATGGTCCCAGCAACCTTTTTTTTTTAAATCCCAGCATGATTTATAATAGTAAAATACAAAATCAGAACATCCTAAATATCCACCATAAGGCAACTGAGTAAACAAATTTTATGATACATCAGTAGACTCTTCTGAAGCCACTGAGATTCATGTTTTGGAAGAAAGTGTAATGTCAGGAGAACTGACATTAAATTGACATTAAGCGATGTATATAAAGAATGATCCACATTTGTAAGCACATGTACCCATGTGTGTATATGGAAAATTGTAGCAGAAAGGACAGCAGCTGTTAACAGCGGCCATCTCTGGATGGTTGGACTATGGGTGAATATTTTTCTCCTTTGTGCATTTTTGTCTTTCACATATTTACTACTTTACATTTCCCCCTTAACAATCACAGGGAATATAAATCATCTTCAGACCAATCATTGACTAAATAGCCAAGATAATTGTCTTTTTTAAAAAATATTATCTGGTGGGCTTAACTTTTCCCAAATAGGGAAGATGTTTTCCTTCAGTCTAATTGCACTTGTTGCTCTTGTTCTGCTCTTTTAAGATTTTTTTCTTCTGCTTCACATGATGTGAATATTGTTGCAGGTTCAGTTCCAGAACACCATAATAAAGCATATCTCTTAAAAAACAAGTCACATGAATTTTTTTTATTTTCCAGTGCCTATAAAAGTTACGTTTACACTATACTAGCCTATTAAGTATACAATAGCATCATGTCTAAAAATGTGCATACCTTAATTTAAAAATACTTTATTACTAAAAAATGCTAACCATCATCAGAACATGTTGGAAACAGGGCCCATTGACTTGCACTACGCAGGGTTGAGGCAAACCTTCAGTTTGTAAAATAAGGCATTATCTGCACAATAAAGCGAAGAGCAATAAAATAAGGGGTGCCTGCAATGTTTTCTATGAACACTTCATTGCCCTCTCTATAGAGGTTCCATTTCTATCCCTCAGTCATTTTGTTATTACTTCTCTGAATTCTGCCGTATTTTTATGAGCATTTACAATATAGGCCCCTCCACTTCTGAAGGACAGAAAACAAGAGAGAATGGGAAAGGCGCTAGCAGGAAGACGCTAATTACAAGTACAATTTATGCTTTAAATATCATATAATCAAACATCGTGAAATGATGAATCATAATGAAATGGTAATGATTAAATATTAAATATAGTAAAACCATACTGAGCACAGGTGTAAACTTTCTGTAGAGGTAAGCTGGTCGATGTTAACTGGTCTCTGAAATATAAAAGCCCTTGTTTGTAGCATTTTCCAGTTTCCACCGTGCAATGCTCCCTCCATGGAGATTTTAAGTAATCAACATAATGCAAACCGGTTCACAAAAATTCCTGAAAACTTAACAATAGGCTTTCCCGAGCTGTTACTAACAGCACCAGTGTAGCACTGGATGGCAAATACTGTATTCTGGATAGAGAGAATGATTTCTTAATTTCGCTTTCTCTTTTGATATTAAGAAATGATTACTTTTTAGGTGTCCAGTTTACTTAGCTATTTCTAAAGATAACTAGTTTGACCTTTGTGGTTGAAATAATTAACCAAAAAATAAATAGTTCCAGCCAACAAAAATTTCACTTTATTTAGCCTATTTTTAAAACAAACAAAAAAAAAAATGAATTGTTTAGCTCAGCTGCTTCAAGATTCAAAAACACAAAAAATGTTGGATTGCTGTATTGTAGACACCTCCTCATTCTTTCTCTCTAGAATTTGTATATTTACTACTTTACATATTTACATAATCCATAAGTTGGAATATTGACCCAAAGCTAGGGGGATCATTTGTTTGCTTAAACGACCAGTAACCTGAATTCCAAGTACCTGTAACCCACCTACCATAAACCAGGGCTGGCATTTTCTTTATGACACAGTGTTGTAAAAAGAAGGCAGAAAAAAAAATGAGTACATGTTGAACAAAATAAGACAGCAAACACATAAAAAACTATTAAAAGAAAAATTAAAAGTCTTACGCATCGTCAAACATGAAGAGGTAAGGTGCAATAATATGCTTCTAGCCTCTCTGAAGCAACTCTAAATCTGATTTTTAAAGTTGCTGTAAATAAATTGTATTTAAATAATACATTTCCCATCCTTTCCAGCAGTGAGGTGCATATCCCTTACCAATCTGGTTCTCGGCAGGCAGTCCAGCCCGATGAAGTATCAGCAAAATGTCAGCTCCCACAGAGAAGTGCGACAGAGAGGCCGCACTGACGAAGTGACGGGCCTTTCAAAAAGCTATTGTGCAAATTCAGTTTTTCAATAGGGATATGGTTGAGGACTGATGGGTATGTCATTGCCAGTGAGTTCGTATTCCATCGTCTGCAGAAACAGAAGGGAGCCTTGCTGCACTGATAGAAAGGCATAAAGCTGAGGAGTTGTCATCAGGTTATTTGTCCTGTTTTCAAACAGTTAATATTCAAATTAGCTGTGGTTTTTGCTTATTTTTAGCACAGAGCCATTGAAGGAGGCCCAAGAGCTGCTCTTTCCTGTATTCTTACCACTTTCTATAATGTCTCATTTAAATCTTTAAAAGTGAAGTTAATCCCATTACTACTTTATAACCTTCAGTGACCTACTAATGATAGAATTCCATAAAGACTGTGGCTCCTAAAGGCCCACCCTCCCTCTGCCCTGACACCATTTTGACCACTTTCACACATTTCCCATATGCTTTACCCATTCCCCCAAGGAGTGTGTGCTTTTAAAATGTGGTGCCGTTGTTCATTAATCTTCCTACTAATAAATGTTTTATTGCCTGTTTAAGTTCTTCAGGGATTTTTATTTTTCAGCATATGGAAACCAAAAAAAAAAAGTCACTAAACCCCTTCTTTCTATAGCATGTCAATAACATTGTAATTTTCTGTTGGTACATGATTAAAGCTATCATTTGTTTTTTTCATTCCTCAGCTATTGATATACAAAGGATGCTCATTAAAGATACACTAGATTCAATTAAAGAACATTCTTAACAATTTAGTAAAGAAGCTTGGGATTAAAGTTTCATAGAAATAATCCACCAAGTAAAAAAAGACATGAGAAACACAGTTTATAGTACTGAGAAATATTCAGTGCGTACACTGCACTGGTCTGAATTGTCAGGACGTCTAAGATGAGATCAGTGGCAAAACTTCTTCGGTATCTATTCCATTTCCAAAAGCACTTTATGGAAGAAGCTCTTCAAAGGTTTAGAAGACTAACAACATCAGGCGATGATGATGTTTTATGATTCTTTAGATTCCTCTCAAGATTCTAGATATATGTATCTCTGTACTCATCTCCAATGTATGCAGTCTTTTAAATACAACAGAACCACTCAGAAAAGTGAGTACATATCTCTGGCTCTTAGTTTCTGTAGCTAAAAGGAAAGGACTGGGTAATGTATAATATACAATATTGATGTAATAATATGCAATTCAATGTTTACTAAGTAACACTAAATAGTAAATATAGACATCCTGTATAGTGATAATGTATTACCCAACACTGATGTAAACTGAGTGATTGAGTCTATTCTGTGTTCATTGTGCTATGTGTTGTTCAGCAATTTGCTCATCTAATCCTCAGGACAACTAATTACTTTGGTTTTCCCCATTTTACAGATGAGGAAATGAACTCAGGGAAGAACTGAGTAACTTGTCCAACGTAACTTATATGCAATTAGTGTTTGAGGACTCAGATAATCAGTACATACACAACTACATATTTATAAAAGACTATATTGTTAATATTAAATATTATAGCTTCCTGGCATAAAACTGAAAATACATAGAGAAAGTTAACATTCCATTAGGAAAAAAACCGAATAGTCAAAAAGTTTGATTAAGGTCATTCTCTTTTTGGCCTCACATTTGTAGATTTCAGAAAGAGTGACTGATACAGCCCAAGAGTATTGTTGAAACGTCAGGTGCCATGGCAGCCTCCGCTCTGTTTCAGGATGGAAGGAGGGTCCCTTTCCTCTGTGTGTTTGCAGTGTGCCCAGCCTATTTGCACAGCCTAAGCTGCTTGCTGCACCACATCAGTAATAACAGTTCTCAGTGGGACCATGATACTGGCCAGGATACCCCCCTGCCCAGCTAGACTGAGCCTCATGGCAGGTGCTGTAAATCAGAAGGTAATTGTAAGTCCTGTTCATCACCTAACATAAATAACAACCAGAAGAATTTTTTTTTGCATTTTGCAGATGCTGAGTGGCCTGTCCTTTTTTTGCTTATATAAGGACTCCTCAATCTTAACTGCATTTAAAATTCTCTTTATATGTTGGTGAATATAGCTGGCTATCTGCCTATAGCAATTCATGATTATTTTAGCTGTTTGCTTCTAGAGCCCTGAATTGAATATCTGGAAGAGCACAAAACAAATTCTTACTTCCACAAAGTGAGTCATTCAGAAGTTCTACTGACCAATATATACACATTTGATACACACTTGCACAAACATACTTTGTGAGTTATTTGTTGGGCTCATGGTCCACTTTGAAATTTGTATCTACTCAAAAATGAATATTTATTTTTACTTATTTGGCATATATTCATTCTAGTGCCATAATTCCTTAATATTTAAATATAAGGACCAGCATGACATGTGGAACATTTTACTCTATATTGCTTTTTGATATGACTGTGTCCAGATATCACTAATTCATTTTATTTATTTATTTATTTAAAAAGCCTTTATATCTCTTGACCACTCATGTTTCTCCACTCACACTGTTACATTAGGCAAGTACTTATTTTGCCTTAGTTTCTTCATTTGCAAAATGAGACTTAAAAAGAACCTATCTCATCAGATTTTTATGAGGCTTAAATAGGTTAATACATAGTACATCTTTAGAAGGTCTATATGGTATAGATAGTCCTGAAAATTTTGCACAGTGCTTTGAATGTGA